TTTTTTAAATAAAAGAATTACCATAGGGTGATGGAAAACCAAACATTTGACAAAATCTCAGCCTTTAAATTACCCATGTGACCTATACCTCTGACGTAGTGCAATTAATATGTTTTTTCACCAAAAGGCGCACCAAAAATTGGTTTAAATCTGATTTATGTTTCAAAAGATATTAATTAATTACCAAAGCAAAAAAGTCCCAACTATTAAACACCTTGACCTTGACCTTGACCTTGACCGTTGGTGTACTGATAAACAATCGACATGAATCTGGCTATTTTAGTTAATTTTTGGCGGAGGATGAACGTATATTTGTATAAGATATCACCCGGAAACCACAATTGTTGCCTAATTCCAGTCTATCAATTGCTGTTATGACCTTGACCTTTGACCTACTGACCTCAAATAAGAGTCTCGCTCATCTCATTGGGTAATACTAACCCAAGATTTGTAAAGGTTGAATATATGCATTAAAAATATCTTAAAGCCAAAATGATTCCAAAAATCCCAGTCTATCAAAAGTTGCTGTGACCTTGAACTTTCATCTTGTGACCTCAAAGTCAATTTGGTTCTTCTTCGGCCCTTACGGCATGCTAAGACCAGTTTTTGGTAAGATATTGTTTATTATTTAAAATCAAATTTTCAAGATGTTTCGGCAAAACTGTATTCCTCGTACTATAAGCCGAGTTCAGTTTATTCGCAACTCAGCTAACAATCAAAATATTTTTTGAATTTTGACACTAGCAATTGTATTTCCTCATTTCGATATATCTAACTTTTATCGAATTTGTTCAGGCAAAGTCAGAAACATGTCATTTTGTTCTTCCCTTCATGATAGTAATAGTGTATTGGTTTGACAGAAGGTTTCCTTGCTAACATAAACTCTCAATGATTATAAGAACAAGTTAGTTTAAACTATTTTAGTTGTTTCAAATCTATCAAAAGCCCCGATCTTCCGACACTCCATTAGTCCGACACCCCAATAGTCCGACGCCCCATTGGTCCGACATCCCAATAGTCCGATATTTAATTAGTCCGACATCGAAATATTATAAAAAGTGTATTTATTTTTATATTAGAAAGTCAAATAAAAGGTACAATATTAAGAAGAGGACATTGTCCTTCTTGGGAACAGTTGATTCCCACTAGGTTAATGTACAAGTACTAAAGTAGCAGAATTTTATCACCACTAATTAAAATCACAAAATACTTTGATAAGTCTTGGACAATTGCTTGAATATCTCTGGATACACTATCTCAGAGATACGGGTTAAAAGTGACACAGTACGAAAATAAAGGAACCAATGAAGCTTTGCTACTTACATGATTATAAGTGTGAACATGGCTTGAGTGAATGAGACGGACACGTTTTTCTGGTATAATTCTAGCGATAAAAAGTAATAACGGTCAGGCCCGTAGCCAGGAATTTCAAGGGGGTGGTTACATCGACTCGCAACAAGCAAAATCTCAACTTTGATGGTCACATTTCAAACAGAACGTCGAATTTAATAGTGTTTGTTTGTTTTCAAAGGGTAGTTCTTGTAATATGAATAATTTCATAATTTTCCCCGACTTGACAACCGGTGGGATTATTGGAGTATTGTATAAAATCAGTATGGTTTTGCGATGAAAAATATTCAGATCCAAACGGACAAGGAAACCATAATTTATTTCTTTAATAGCTGAATATGTCACAGCAACATACCAATACTCCTCATATATATGAAGGTAGAGCAGAGAAGTTAAAGAAAGAACTAATATTAATTGATTGTTGTTTGCTTTACGTCCAGTGGCAAATATTTCATGCATATTTAGGATAGAACTAATCAACAACAAGAAGGCACACACTGAGATGTCTCGCCTGCTTTAGTGACCATTGATTTTATGTTGATAGTCCTAAATATCAAATATTACTACAAGTATCACATAAACCTAACATGATCCAAGAAAATGAGGTCAAGGTCAGATAAAAACCAAGCCAAAAATACACGTACACCTTACAATCATTCGATACACCAGCTTTAGTAGACCTATTGCTTATAGTATCTGAGATAAGGACTTGACCACGAAAACTTAACCTTGTTCACTGATCCATGAAATGAGGTCGAGGTCGAGGTCAAGTGAAAACTGTATGACAGGCATGAGGACCTTGCACATACTAAATACAGTTATCCAATTACTCATAATAAGAGAGGATTTAACATTACAAAAAATCTTAACTTTTTTTCAAGTAGTCATTGAACCATGAAAATGAGATCAAGGACAATGGACATATGACAGACGGAAACTTCATAACATGAGGCATCTATATACAAAGTATGAAGCATCCAGGTCTTCTACCTTCTAAAATATTTAGCTTCTAAGTAGTTAGTTACTGCCGCTGCCGCCGCCGGATCACTATCCATATGTCTCGCTTTCTGCGACAGAAGTCGCAGGCTAGACAATAAAAACAATAGGTAAGTTCAGTAATAGGGGTCGACCAGAATGAAGGGCGGTAATGTGGAAGCAGTAATATTAACTGTCATTCCATTCTGACGGCAAATGCCATCCGTTTTTATTGACTTTAACGTAAAAAAGTATTCAATAAAGAGCCAAATATAGTATCGTTTGTACAATTTTACTATGGATATTTTGAATGTCATATTTTTATAAAGTTTTCGATTTTTAAATTCAAATTCGGTGTAAATGGAAACCAACATGCTTGGATAAAATAAATTTGTTTTTATTGTAAATGAAATCTTTTTAGTTTTGACCGTTTCAGAGAGTACCGGTATATTGCAGTCTGGACATTTTCCTTTACGACGAGAGACTGTTCTTCAAATTCCAAATTCTCTTCACCCCAAGGGGGACTGGAGTATAGAAATGTGTCAACTTTTGTTGTTTTTTTTCGATAAAGTAGACCCCTTGCAAAAGTGGGGCGTCCGCCGTTTGGTTGTGCAGGATGCATCCATTTTGTCCTAAGTTAAAGCTGTCTTTTTGACATTGAAACATCTTTACTTGTTTTTGTGTATTGTCTTTTTGATAGAGTTAAGCCATTTCAATTGATATTTTATTGTGTGTCTTTTTATGTTGTAATGTTATACCATTGTTTCAGGTTATAGTATAGTTTAGCGCCTGTTAAAACGTTTAAACCCGCTGCATTTGTTTGCACCTGTCCTAAGTCAGGAGCCTGTTGTTCAGTGGTTGTCGTTTGTTGGTGTGGTTCATACGTGTTTCTCGTTTCTCGTTTTTTATATAGATTAGACTGTTTGAATTGTTTTACACTAGTCTTTTGGGGGCCTTTACAGCTTGCTGTTCGGTGTGAGCCGAGGCTCCGTGTTGAAGTTGAAGGCCGTACTTTGACCTATAATTGTTAACTTTGTACACATTGTGACTTAAACTGTTGTCTCATTGGCACTCATACCACATCTTCTTATTTATATATAAGCAGCTACGTCCGGTCCGAAAAAGGACGTTAAATATTTTGCATCGTGTCGAGAGAGTGTCACGGCTATCTGCACTTTAAGAAACCTTGCAACAACTCTTTGATAGGTCCGTAGGTGGTTCCTACACTTTTTGACCTATATTTGTTCCTCCTCACAGAAGCTCCTCTGAAAACATTGTCATAAACAATGCTATAATATCTGTTCCTTTTGGAAATGATATTATATACCCTTTATTCCGCCAGGAACAAATAACGCAATATTTTTTTCCAGTGGAAATAATAATCTAGAATATCTATTCAATTTGGAACATATATTATAAAGGAGGGGCCTGATGGGTTATTTTCGTTCTTCGTGATCGGCGCATTTTCGCTATCGTGATCCGTTTTTCTACAGATTTATACTCTTTTTATATTTTCGTGATCCGTGATCATGGAAATTTATTTTCTGTGAATCGTGATTGACAAAAAAATCAACTCGTGAATCGTGATGAGACCCCCCCCCCCCCGATCAGGCCCCTCATAAAGGAACTTGTATTCCATGACAGTCTGTTGCCAGGTTCTTATTAGAGGACATACCTTTTGTATGAATTATTAATTTGTTTTTGTCCTTACAATGCATGAACTATATGCCACTGGACGTAAAGAAAACAGCAATCAATCAACCAAATTCCCAAGGTCACACTTTGTATTTGTTAAGCAAAATATTGCAAGGTTGTCCATTGTCTTATATTTACAGGATCATGGTATTTTTTACATTTTTTACCAGTTGGTAAGTGTTGTCTTCTCCATTTCTTTATATGAAGTAGATTTTCCATTACAGCTTTTGTCGGACTATTAGGATGTAGGACCAATGGGGTGTCGGACAAATGGGGTGTCGGACAAATGGGGTGTCGGAATAGAGGGGCGACCCTTCGCAGTTTCTGATCTGCTTTTCTGCAAACTTGAACATGTACTGTCCAAATTCTAACTGGTTAACATATATGACAAAATTTTCTAGTGGAAGATTTTTATGAAATATCTAATATTCCCTCGAAACACAGTCATCAGTAACATCCCTGTGAAATAGTATTTGAACCAGGAAGTGAACAGGCATGATAACAGCATTATCTGGCCACTGTGAAATTGCATAAATATTAAAATTCCACGATTTTTTCAAAATTAAGTTAATTCCGCTTAGTATATAGAAATGTCATAATTGATAGATTGGACCCAAAATGGTCATTTTATATATAGATTTATCATTTTTGTAAAATTAAGTGCCATTTGACTTCAATAAGTACATTTTATCCCAGTACGTCTTGCGGCAAAATATAGAGTAAGATTATTGCTTATATATTAATATTGACAAATTTTTTTCTTGTTTTTCTTTTAAAATGTACGAAGATTGCTTCCAAAAGCTAATATGTAATATCATCACTAATATGTATATATTGTTACTGGTTATATACTTGAGTCTTGTGAACATGTGAAAAAGGTTATTTTACAAATTTTTAATACTATGTTTTTTTCGAATTCACGGGACCAATATTTATTTATCTGCATTCTCTTTTGGTCGAACGTAAAGTCTGACACCGGATCACCGGGATTTTAAAACGTCTTTATTTATGAAAACTGAATTTATTAACAATAATGAGCATCTTATTCATGGGTAACTATACAGACCAGGCTGGTCTACTGTCAGGCTAGCACAGGACATCATGTTGAAGAAGTTCACTTCTGAATACAATGTATACAGTTTTCAGACAATACAATTCATTGTTTCTGATTTACTATCTTTTAAGAATTAGATCAATTATTTCAAAAATACGTTGTGCATTGTTTAAAGTTATAATTTTCTCAATAGCTAACCACCATTAAGCACACATTTGCCAACAACCAAGCATACATGTCCGAATCAATTAGCAAAGTTCATGAAAATGCTGGTTAAAGTCTATTTTTATTTTTTCAGTTTTTGGCAAGATAAGAAATAATAACTTTTAATTCCGTCTACAAATAACTGTCAACAATTGGTCGAGGTTGCGATAAAACATTTTGTCGTTGCTTCAATGCATGTTGTATACCGCGACGTGGACCCATTGGTAATCCTAAATCTACAAGGTCGCCGTCTGTAAGTAGAGACAGTTTGCTCAAATCAATGTCTTCTTTTGTAAACAAATGCAAATAGCCACTTAATTCGCATGATTCGAGGAATCGGACGAGCGGTGTAGCATCGTCGTCGTCATCGATTACTTCGTCGGCTTCCCATGGAACATCTTTCATTTGTGTTTGTGATGCAAATTGCATGTCTTCACTTCCGCTGCTTGATTGGTCATCGCCGTTTTGGTAGCCGTTTACTACAGTTTCAACGCCATCAAGATCGTCTGCAGACGCAGACCTATGACCATTTGTCATTCCTGTAAATGTTCCAGACATTCCGGTATGACTTTTTAAAAATGAAATTTTTCCCAACATTGGACGATTGAATATGCCTGGCTTTTCTTCTTCCTCGTCAACATCATCAATTCCACTGTCAAGTAAATCAGAATCACTTTTCCATTTACTCTTCGAACTTGGCATTCCTGTAAAAACATTGTTCAAAGCTGGTCTTATCCCTTGTGTTTCAACTTCCCGATTCGTCAAATACATAACATCTGATGCTGATCCAGCTTGAACTAACATTGACCCAGGTGCCAATGATCTTAATGTTCTCCTTCCGCTTGTTCCTACTTCTTTTGGATCATAAGAACCGCTCCCTTCTTGACTCATTTGTTTCATCGCTATTTTTTTCGCAACACCCCGTTTACTCGTCCCGATAGCCAAATCGGAGAAGTTGGAAGATGATGAATGTTGTTGAAACTTTTTATTATTGGCAATGCGTTGACTTCCTTTAAGTTTTAGAGTCAGTGTTTTAAAGATATTTCCTTTCGTTGGAGCTTTGAAGTCATTCTCCCTTTCCTCACGATGTTTTTCCTGTTTTCGCACATATCGGTCTACCTCTTTTTGCAATCTTTCGTACCTTTTCACATTGTGTTCCGCATCGCGCGTCGCCTTTTCCTTTAGGCCCTGAACGACTTTAGGATTTTTCGATTCCTGCTTTGAATGTGTACTATCCAAAAACTGTGCAATATCACGTCTGTCATAAAGATTTGCAATGTCTAATGCTGTGCGGTAATCGTTATCCAAAGCCCAAATATTACATCCAAAATTTACCAAGTAATGAACAATATTTTCATGATTATTTTTGCAAGCATGATGTAGCGCAGTAAATCCTGTTAAGTCAGCCTTGTTATGGTCACCACTGAAAAAAAAGAAGAAAATACAGCATTACAAACGATTTAAAAGAACATATATATATACAATATATGTACATTGTCGGAAAGTATAAATTTTATTTGTTAGAAACAGGACGAAAAGCGAGGCTCGCCGAGCTTTTCTCCTGTTTCGTAGCGTGTACAATACATTTGATATTACCGACAATGTACTTTATTCAAATTCCCTATTTATTTTGTGCATCTGCTTCTGACACGGGGAGGATTGCTGTTACTGCCTGCAGATGAACAAATATCAATCTTTACAGATGATAATTTATAAGTATGTTCAAACAAAAATTTATTTTGTTAGAGGATTTACTTGTTCATTTGATTTTGACACGAGGAAGATTGCTGTTGCAGCTATTACAACAGTATATCCATAAACATCGTCCCTTCGTGTCTCCTGCAGATGAACAAACTATATATCTTAACCTTATGAATCTTAAATTAATTGTGCTGATGTGAACACGAGGTGCACTGCTGGACATAGAAATAAGAAAATAGGAAAATACTCAAGGATACTTATAATGTATTTTTATTATTAATGCTATTTTCATATGCATGTCTATTATAATATCTGTCACAGTATATGCTGTACAATGTCTCATTGTTGCTTATATTGTCATATTTAATTATATTCTTGCTAAAAACCAATAAGCTTTAATTACCATAAAATTGTACTGTTTATCCATTAAATGGGGGAAATAATGCATATTGGTATAAGTTCATTTAATGCTGACTTTTCTTTTTTAGTTTACAGTTCCTTCGGCATGCCAAGAGTTCAATATAACTAGGCCTTATGTTGGTCAATAACCCATTGATTCTTAAAAAATGTATAAAATTGTCTTCTCTCAAGTTAGTTTACTGTACATGTATCTCTCGTTTCTTTTGGCAGTTATTAAGGTTTTATGTCAAATATGAAATACTTCTTTTTGTATGTTCTATTCATAAAATAGGACAATTTGTACTATTAATTGTATGGATAGTATATTTTACTGTTTTGAATCACGAAGTGTGCGTCATTACAATCAGTGGGCGTCTGTCCGTCCGTCTATAAACTTTTCAAAAATCTTTTTTTTTCTGAATAACACAATTTAATCAAAGTTAACCGGAATTATCTTTCTTGTTTTTTATGATAATACCGACCAACCGTGAACCAGTCTACCAATGAGAATCAAATTCGAAAATGAAGTGAAATAGTATTTTTGCCGATCATGCATATTAAAGGAATTTAAACTTAACAATATTGCTGAAACATATTATCACACGTAACAGGAAGATATCTATTGAAGTTTGTTTAACTGGCGGAGATAGTTTACACTGTGATGATAGCTATCTAATCTATTGACGTGGGTCTATGACCAAACGTGGACAGCTATTTCAATTATTTTGAATTAAACTGATAAAAGGATAAATAATTTACAATAATAGAACTTTCATTCATAATCATGTTAATCGTGTGACGATACTAGATTTAAGCCATAAAGTAATGAAGTATAGAGTATAGAAAAAGTGAACTTTTAGTTCAAGTCCACGGCATGTCCTTCCTACATTGATTTCGTTATTACCAGGATATAGGGACATCATCTGCATTTAAGGGATATACTATTAAGTGGTTGGTTGGTTTTTTGTGATTACGTGTGTATCTTAAATGAGTATGACCCCCCCCCCTTATTGATAAAGGATCTGATTTGTAACGGATTTAAATTTTGGTTCTGAATTATTGGTTTTTGGTGAGATATACTGGGATATTAGTTTTGAGTCGTTTCAATGCCAGGTATTAATTCGGGTCGATTAAAACTGCACACATGAACGAAAAAATTATCGGTGTTCAAGGATCAACTTCATAGATTTAGACAAGATATCGGTTACAAACTACGATGTCTTTATCTATAATAAAAAAATTATAATATACCTATTGCACTTTCAAGATCTCCGTTGACATTCACTGCATAGTATAATGTAGGACCATTACATAATACGTTAAAATATAATCAGAATGAAAATCTTCAAGATTCACCAATAAAAGGTAAGCAACAATTGAAGAGCTGATACAACACAAAATGACAGCAAACAATCAAGTAATTAGTTAGAACGAGTCACACGGATAGTATATAACAAGTATGCAAAGAAATGCAACAGCATGAAATATATACAGATCATATTAAAATGAATCTAAACATAAAGCAACTAAAATATACGCGAAAATTTCATAAAAACTGAACTTAGACACGAATAAAAGCGTGCATGGAAATAGTAATAAATAATAAACCACATCCTCAATTCAATCAAAGATTTAAAATGAGACAGTTTTATTAACTTTACTTTAAAATTGTTGTAAATGCAACCATGAACAAAACTATCGATTAACGTTATTATTTCTAATAAAAATCAGCTAAATTAATAGTTGCACTTCCTTTCTACGAATTATAGAAACAAGGATTTCCACTTAAGTTTGAATGGACATATTATTGAAGATAATGACAACTTAATCGAGTTTGAAGAAATTTGATTAAAACGTGTTTACATAACAAACACACAACGTTGTGCATATAGGTCGGTAATATTGCAGTTTGTATACGAATTTCACAATATCCTCAATAAATATTATCGGTTTCTTGCATTTCAGTGATTATTGGTAAATATGGAGAAAACGTTTTCTTTTGGTTGTGAATAGATTAGTTTAATATCTCTTAATGTTTTATCATTCCTGGGTGTTTGAATTCTTCCCATCCTATATAAAACTTTGAACCGTTTTTAATACGTTAAGATTGTTAAAAAACTAACAATCAAATAATGATATCTAAGTTACAATTTGTCGTATTTTTCGTAACATGTAACCTTATCAGAAATCCCTAAAGGTGACACAAAACTGAAATATTGAGATATTTTGGTTGGGTATGTATGCCAAATTTGAACGAAAACAGTCTTAATCAAAACAAAACAAAAAACTCTATCAGAAATCAATTCTATGTATTGTATTTCAGATAAAAAATAAGTTAGTTGGATGCAAAATTTCACAAAAACTCAAACATGTAAAAACGGCGATATTTTATCAAAATTGCCTACTACATCAATGTATATCGCTGAATAAGATTTTGCTTTAATTATGGATAAAGATTATTGTTGTGAAATCGATTTATATAAAAATAAGAAGATGAGGTATGATTGCCAATGAGACAACTATCCACCAAAGTGGATGTTAGCAATTATAGGCAACCGTACGGCCTTCAACAATGAGAAAAACCCATACCGTATAGTTCGTTAGTGCCACTATAGGTTGCAATTCTGTAAATATAGACAATGCAATTTCCATAGGAACTCGCCACTTTTACTATGAAGTTTGGTGAAAAATTATATCCCAGCAACGGAAAGTTGATACGCACTACTATTTTATTCAAAGTTCAAAATATTTTCAACATTTATATGCCCTGAACTTCTAAGAGTTTAAACTTATACTTAAATTCTATACCACCCCTACCTCCACTTTTGGACCTCCTAAGAATTAAATTATAGGCGCTACCATGTTTTTCTATACTGGTAACAATCCCAAGTTATGTCTCTATGAGATGAAACACAGAGATCATATCTGGGAACCAGTACGTTAACAAATTAACATATCTATGAATATTATATATCTCCCCCAAAAGAGGCGTGGCTTGTGAAACAGTGTATTTACAAAGTGCAACCTATAAATGTTCAGCTTCTAAAATAATCATAATTCTTTTGAGTTTTGGCGTCAAGCCGGATTTGTATAGTAATTAAGACATACTCTTACTATACAATTCCTTGCGAGAATGGAGCAAATTCAATAAAATTGCTTCTTTGGTTTTTGTTGTTGTTAGTATTAAAATATTGGACAACGGCAATAAATTTTCTTTATTAACTAGGAATCCCTTATACCCTTGTGTTGCCAGGTGTCAAAGTTCTCGTCTACTATACATATCAGTACATTATATAGGTGTGTCAAAATATTTGTTCAACATTCAGATATTCTTTGAAGTTTTAGTAACCAAGTTATTTTGAACAATTTATGTGCTTTAATCTAAATATGCAATTTATATTAACGTATATCTACTTCTGTGTAATGCAAGGGGAGATTTAAATAAATATTGGAAAGTTAGAGATAAGAAATCGGCCAACTTGGACAACAATCAATTCATTCTTTAATACACATAATCTGCTGGATAAGAAAAAAATTGCGAAGACGGTCAAAATTCTATCAATAAGAAAAACTGAACAAGAATTCTCTATCTGTGTTTTAGACCGAGACTTGTTACTCAAATCAAAATGTGCGAATCTTATATTTCTTTTTTTATATGTCCCTTTGTGTATTAATAATGCTGCACTTCCTTTAAAATAAGACCGTAAACATATCATATGAATCTGAACGCTACAGTTTCAAGTTTTCTGACTTCTCATGAACAATCTGAACAAATGTCTGTAGAAACAAGATAATTAAACTCAGATTAACTGTTTATAAAACTTTGAATTTTTCGAAATACTTAGGATTTTCTACCCTAGGAACAGATAATCTTAGATGTATTCTGCAAAACCTTTCGGAATTTTGGGTCCTCAATGCTCTTCAACTTCACACTTTATTTGGCCTTTTAACTTTTTTGATTCGAGCATCGCTGGTGAGTCTTTTGTCGGCGAAACGCGCGTCTGGCGTACACAATTTTAATCCTTGTATCTATGACGAATTTATGGAATTCTTTTCAAATATGAAATTTCCTGAGTAATAACCTTTCTCTGTTGTCCTCCCACATTCCAATGTAAGTGTTATCTACTAGAACAACATCCTATGCCACAAAAACATTTTTTTCTTTACAGTTCATTTAGACGTCACAACAGGATTCTTTCGTGACAATATTTACCAACCGTCATTGCATGTATTCCGTTGGTGACAAAACAATTCTGATAATTATCATACAGAATGTCGCGTAAAGGAGGGGTTGTTAACTGAAACTGGCACTACTTAAACGTGTTTAACTGTACTTTCTAACGGAAACTGTTTCCATTTAAGAGTTGGTCCCAGTGCAAACCACTCTGGATTTCCTTAAACAGTACCGTGTAAATAGAGCATTATTTGCTGTCATCAAATATCTAAAAAAATTGTCGACTATCAAACTTGAATTGTTTTTATCAAGTTGTAACCATAAAAGATCATAAACTATATTTCTAAAAAGTGTTTCCACCCTCTTACGTTGTAACACTGTTTTAAAAGTCTAAAGTTTCAGTCTACTTGTAGAATATACAATAACCCACACCACAACAAATTGGAGAATGGAATTATCTAAAACTTTCACTTAACTTTAATTCTATAGGGGATTTAAAGTATTTTTGAAAATTTGTAAGCAGCACATGCCTAAGTTAGACAATAAACTTGAATTTCACCGATACCAGACAACACGAAATCTTCATGTCTGAATATATCAAGATACGTATATGCAAGTTTTATCTAAAGACATTATGCCATATGCTGTGCACATTTTAAAACCTTGTCAATCGATTATAAACTATGGAGATTTGTCCTCAATAACTCATTTCCTTATCTAATGCAAACATTTACAATCACGAAACAAAAACCCTTCAAAACTGACAACTTCTATTGTAGGACAACAATATAATCCAACCCTTTAACATAAAATATTTATTATAATATTATAGGTTTGATGTGTAAATAATAGTTGCACATAAAATGTACCTATTCTAGCCAACAGAAATATTTTGTAAGAAATGGCTGAGATTTATGAAAAACCAAATACCTACATGTATCATTTAGGAAATACACATGTATGCATTTATATTATCATTAAAAAGAGACGAGGAGAAAAATCAATACGACAGCAATCGAACGACACAAATAACCAAAAGACAAAGTTAGAGGCAACATGCGACCTTCCAGAAAAGATAGGTGTCTATTCAATATACGTCATACTGCAAATCGTCTCGAGTCTTATATAGTCGTGACTAAAACAGAGTTTATAAAATATTCGCCATCAACAACAAATTTCCAAAATAAAAAAAAGAACATATTTAGATATGACACAAGATTTTCTGATCCTCCGAAAACTATTGAGATCTATATCCATATAAATAAAAAAAATATACTTGCAGTGCTTTATCCACCAATTTAGAAAAAGAATCGAAAGCACATTTTTATATTTAATGGAACACAAATCTAATATTTTTCATTCATGCTTAAGACAAAAAATGCAGTACATGAAGTTCCAGAAAGACGATCTTGTTAGAGGCAATCTTACAAACTTCTGTTTTATTGTGAATGTGGAAGATATGTTGAAAACGATGATAACTTTTTCTTAAGTTGTCGCTTTTTTACACATTTAAGAATTTAACATTCAAAAAATCTGTGTGTCGAATTTAACATTAACAATATTCTTTTTGAATGTTCTGTTAGGGACTTTGATATCAGCTGTATGCTATTTAGAGCAATACACAATATATATAAGCTCTTTGAAGCATTTTGTCTTGATCTACTCTTTTAATAGAGAGGCGAAAGATACCAAAGGGACATTCAAACTCATAAGTCGAAAATAAACTGACAACGTTATGGCTGAAAAGAAAAAGACAAACAATAGTACACAAAACACAACATAGAAAACTAAAGACTAAGCAACTCGAACCCCAACAAAAACTGGGGGTGATCTCAGGTGGGTTAGCTGGTCCTGCTCCACATGTGGCATCCGTCGTGTTGCTCGTGTAAGTACAAAGACGGTGATAAGTCTAATTTGGTAGGTCACTTTCGGGGAAAAGGGGACTGGTTTGTAGTTACGACAATTGGAACATATCCGTCGTTATCTGTGAAACAGATATTCAATAACGGTCAACTAAATCGTGATGGCGTCCGTAAAATTTACGGAGGGATAATTTAAGACGTTTCCTCCCATGACAGCAAACCCCCCGTTACGCCACATGCGTGGTATGCATACTACGTTGTGTTTTTTTTTAATTACATACTTTAGTGTCCAGTGTACTATGTCATATCTTGTTTAATGTAATTACTATTTTGTATTGGAGAAGACCTCGTCAAAAACTTGTGTCTTATCCATTGTCATTTCTTTTCTTTTTGTCATTGGATATGTGTAAAATTAAGTGCTTTATCTTGAAGTAGTCTTCACTTCAATTTCAATTCCACACAAACCTTTAATTTAACATGGAACAACAGATAAAACAGCAGGCATGAGAAAGAAAAAAAAGGGAAAAAACTTGATATGCATAGACTTATAAATGACATGAAAAAAATACTTTCTAGCTAGATTCCATAGTCAAGTCTGTTCTATATCGCCATCTGGTCATAATTTACATCAAATATATAGTACATACAAAGAGGATCAATTGACAAGAAGTGTTCAGCCATATGTCAAAAGGACAAATACAATGATTTCATAAGCCTTGGGCTTGAAATTTATTGCAAGATAACAAAATCTATTATTTTTCTAATCAAACCATCATATTTCTAATGTATAATAAAACATGTAAATATCGTGATTGAAACATGTGGAACCAAATATGCAAAACCTCCATTTTTCTGTAATTTGTAAATACACTACTATTTCAGGTTAGGGTGAAGGTTAGCGCTTGTTAAAACGTTTAAACCCGTTGCATTTGTTTGCACCTGTCCTAAGTCAGGAACCTGTTGTTCAGTGGTTGTCGTTTGTTAATGTGGTTCATAAGTGTTTCTAATTTTTTTATATAGATTATACCGTTGGTTTTCCTGTTTGAATTGTTTTACACTAGTCATTTTGGGGCCCTTTATAGCTTGCTGTTCGGTGTGAGCCAAGGCTCCGTGTTGAAGGCCGTACTTTGACCTATCATTGTTAACTTTTTACACATTGTGACTTGGATGGAGTGTTGTCTTGTTGGCACTCATACCACATCTTCTTATTTCTATATAAAGCTTTAAACAATGGCATAAATCAAATATAAGAGGGTCTGGATGTGGGTCCTTCGTATCTGTATATGCTTTATTTTTTAAGCCATTTTTCTCATTTCTTTATACTTTTTTGTCCATTATTCTCTATTCTTTATTTTTTTGGTCTATTTTTCTCTATTCTTTATATATTTTTGCCCGTTATTCTCTATTCTGTAATCCTCCCTCCACACCCTCATTTAAGCCTCCAGCAACGAGTGTTATATGTCAAAATTATCATTATTTCAACCGTATTTAGATAATATCTTTCAGGTTATGTATGTTATAACACAATCTCCGACAACAACTACACAATGCAAAGTTTCTTCTACGCTTGTATTTACCATTTAGTATCTTCTAAAAGAAAACACAATCTTTAAATTTCCGTTTTAACAATTTGAGAAATTTATTTAGAATGTTTAAGCAGCCAAAATGTTTGGTACATACATGTAATTATGATAATTTATGTTCACGAAGTACAGCTTAACCTAATCTACATGCAAGGATTATTATGCACATACATGTAATATGTAAATTATGAGGACATTTGTTTTGATTTTTTTCGTTCAAATTGGTAGAAGGAAGAAAAATGTTCACTGTAGCAATAATCATCAACGTTTTATCGGCTTAAAAGCATAACCAATGCCCCTCAGAGAAGAGGTATAAATCATCTGAAATATATTTTTATTGTGGTTTATTTTTATAACCTTATTATTATACCTATTATCATGTTGGATTTTTTTACAATAAGGAAAATAACAATTTTACAAATTTGTCCACATACAGGAAATAGTAAACATGCAAAGAATGAGAAGTACACCAGTAGAAGGAATTAAAGTGCAGTTAAATGAGAAAAAAAGTATATATTTATCTATATCTAATACATACCCTCTACCAATAATTTGTCTTAGTGCGTCCAAGTTCCCAGAATATGCAGCCCACAATGTGGCAGTCATTCCATCTTCGTCTGTGCTATTTAATTCCCTTTTTGTGGCACTACGAAGTAAGTCCAAATAACCATCTCTAGCAGCTTGGTGGAATTTCTCGTCCCCCATAATTTAATACGTGAGTTTTGTCACATAAACTGGTTGTTTTTTTTCTAAAACATTGTGTACAGTACCATATGCGGCTAACTCGTTGATCGGGAAGATAAACTAACTAAACGATTCGATTTCGAGAAATTAGTCACCTGAGAAAGATTCGAGCCAAGAGCGAACTTTGATATGAGATTGGGTCTTCAGTTATGAATATTCATGTTGTTCAATAAAGTAACATTTTATCGATAAGAGTAACTTTATCAAACACTATGACACATTTTGGTCAGGTGTATTTAGTAAATTAAGTCCAGGTAAAAATTGATTAGAAATTCAAGTTTTCCCAAAACATCGATCTATTTACATATATAATCTACGAATGTTAAACTTCCATGTACTTTGGTACATTCCGAAATGTTATTTCTGAATTATACCTGCATTTTATTTCATTTGTGTAAATAACAAACAAGGTAATCGCAATCGAAACAGACACAGTATATGAGAACGATCATTTAACTTTTAATGGTTTTTTTTTTTTTATCTTTCTTAAAACAATTTTCGTACCACGCAAGCATCTGTTTATTTATTTTTTTACGTTAAACGCGATTTTTTTTACCAGTAACATGATATATAATCGCAAAAACTCTCAATCAGATTTGTTTTCCTTCTCCAGGATAAAATTTTTTTTCTTCAATGTAGGGAATCAGAATATATTTTTATACCATAAGGCCCACCCTCAGAGTTATATGGTTGTTCCCTAAGGTGTAAGATCTTTACAATAAAAAAGACAATTTAAACCCTTCAAAATGTTCATATGCCTTTCCACTGAATTTCATATATACACAGCCAGAGATTGTCTTTAGTTAAATCTTAAATTTTCACATAAACAATTACAAATTTTGTATTTTTTACTAATTTTGAAATCAAAGGACGTCTCGATCCAAAAATTAATTTGTATCCAAAAGACAGTCTAACATAATTTTGGTTTTGATTAAAACTAGCTGTCCTTCTTCAATATTTTTTGGGATAAATACACAAATTTGGCCAAAATCTGTCAAAATTGCAGGAAGAGCTATGGTCAGGCGTTTATAATTTTAAGTTATCACATGTGTTTAAATAAACCTTTATACTATTAGAACCCCAGAGTACACAAATGCCATGGAGGGTCCTACTTTTTTTTAGTTATGTCAATTCTTTGAATGTCTTTTATTATATTAAATCACATCTCATTGAACGTTGAAGAGTGGAGGAACAATGAGTTTGCCTTCTCTTATAGATATTTGTCCTTTTCTGTCGCTCGGTTGCCGCCGTCTCATTGATACTAGTACTCTGTCAGTACTTTGGGAATTAACGAATGTTCTCGGGACCATTTTCGGTTAAAAGCTTTGCTCTACCCTTTCCATCAAACCATAGTACAAGTCTATAAACAACTACATGTCACCATATACGGCCTTCAACTATAGACAAACTTTGCAAAAATGATTACAGCTAATAGCATTACACAAACAATTATAATCTATAGCAACAGACTACAGCAACTGGACAACCGACACCTGGCGTGGGACAGACACAAAGAAATTTGCGGGGTTAAACATCCTTCGACTGCTCCCCCACATTTATAACATGTTACAGCTGAAGTAACAGTACAGCATAGAACTACTACCGGGGTCATTCAAGATCCACATAGGCCGCTTGATCTTTGTGCATTTGTGGTGATTAAAATAACAGTAAATTATTCTAATTATGTCATTGTGAAATCAGTTTGTACATTGAAATGTTAGTTTAAAAACTATATAGTTTCGATATCGACGATATCGTATCGATATCAATATAAAGTTTTAACTATATGTGTCGCAGCAAACACAACATCAGCCGTCATTATCGATTCGGTTGTTGTCAGCCAAATTTTATACCTGGCACGTTTCTTCTGATTAAACTGTTTAAGTTGACGATATCGCCGATATCGGTTCGACAATTTATGGTCCAAATGTTAATCTGATACATTTTTCCTTAAAGACAGTTTAGTAGGTCCTCGTTTTTCTGTTTTAGCTGTCGATTCGACGAAATCGATTTCATATCGACATTTAAAACATTTCTTCATTAAATTTGGCAATTTAGCTAAAGATATGTTGTACGATTTACATTGAGACTTCAAACGTATCCTCAACTATTTTTTTCTTTCAATGAGTTTACACTATATTCATCAGATATAGTTGTCTATATCGACAAATTATATTCTAAATGTCTATCAAACTATATCAATTCCATATCTCGACAACAAATGAGACAACAAACCACCAGACACAATAAAAGTTCCAATGTCCCCCTCGTTGCACATATTTTATCTATCCAAGGTAAAAGGGAAATAACTAAAAAAACACTTGTTTTTTTTCTTTAAAACAATTTATAAATATCTTAAAGAAATGAAGGCTTCTGAGCAAATGCCATGCGACTTCCGTTATAATTATTTTTTCCAAGGGGCATAACTCGTTAAAAATATTTGATCAGCACTTATTTTCGAAAGTGTCAAAACTGATGTAAACCTATGATATAATTTTCATAAAATTCTGGCAAGAATTGTACACATGAGAGCGCTAACAATGCAATTTTCCATATAATCAATATTCAAGTTCCACGGGAAATAACTCTTTTAAAAATAATTGATCGGCACTGATTTTCAAATTTGCCTGAGACATTGATTATATAAACCTATAATATAAATTTCATAAAAATCTGGCAAGAATTGTACACATGAGAGTGGTAACAATGCATTTTTCCATATAATCAATATTTCCAAGGGGCATGACTCTTTTAAAAATAATTGATTGGCACTGATTTTTGAACTCGTCAAAAACATTGATGATATAAACCTATAATATAAATTTCATAAAAATCTGACAAGAATTGTACACATTAGGGCGCTCATGAGGCAATTTTTCATATAATTAATATTTCCAAGGAACATAACTCTTTTAAAAATAATTGACCGGCACTGATTTTCGAACTCAAAGACATTGTACACATGAGAGCGCTAACGATACAATTTTCCATATAATTAATATTTCTAAGGGGCATAATCTTTTAAAAATAATTGATCGGCACTGATTTTCCAACTCGTCCAAGACATTGCTAATATAAACCTATGATATAAGTTTCATAAAAATCTGGCAAGAATTGTACACATGAGAGCGCTAACGATGCAATTTTCCATATGTGTATTTAATGTTTCTAAGGGGTATAACTCTTTTAAAAATAATTGATCGGCACTAATTTTCAAACTCGTCAAAGACATTGCTGATATTAACCTATGATATAAGTTTCATAAAAATCTTGCAAGAATTGTACACATGAGAGCGCTAACGATGCAATATATAATTAATGTTTCTAAAAGGGCATAACTCTTTTAAAGATAATTGATCGGCACTGATTTTCGATCACGTCCAACACATTGCTGATATAAACCTATGGTATAAGTTTGATAAAAATCTTGCAAGAACTGTACACATGAGAGCGCTAACAAGACCGGACGGACGGTTGCACAGACGGACGGACGGACGGAGGCCCGGTATTTCTATATCAGCCACAACGCGTTTCGCGGGGGACAAAAAGGACTAGGATGTACAGATTCCGGTAGAGTCTTCATAAAAAGAAACAATAATACCGGCATGAGAAAATGTCAAATATTTCAAATGGGAAAACAAACATTCTGATTTATGTATAAATGATAAACGAAAATCTAATATGGCAGACAGCAACCGACGACAATCATTGTATCAAAAAGCTACAGAGTTGGGTCAGTCACATTGAGTATTTGGCGATGTTTCACATGTTTATGAACACTTACCACTTTCCTTAAACTTAAGACGGTAGTGTAGCATCAATACATAATTACAAAATGTAAAAATCAGTTTGAAAGGGCTTAGCATATCAGATCGGCCCAAAGAACAATAACAAATACTAGTAGACAACATCACAAAGTACAGATATAAGAGTACTCGTATAATTATTCAAATTAAGTTAAAATCTAATTTCAACCAAAACATAAACCATGTTCCCTATTGAAATATGAATAAGTTCTCATCCCATGGATTTAAATTTTACATACTTAGTCATTGTTGATATCGATATCTGGATTAGTCTTGGACATGTATGGAAAAATTATAGAAGGATAAAGATTAATCAAATGTATTCCATAGTATAGAGTGGGGATTATTCCAAACATTTGACTTTTTTACCTTTACAGACGTATTGACTCGTAAAATAGTCAAACTTATTTAATAAAAACGACCAAAGTAGATACAAATGTCCTGTTTAAGGAACGGATAAATCATTCTTCAAACAAGAGGTTACAACTATAAAACTGCATGATGCTTGATGTTTTTTTTTTTATTGATAACATATTTGTTAAATTATGTGAACGTGTTTTTCAACAGAAAACTGGCAATGAGGCAGACTTCATAGTTCATCCAATTACATATCCATGCATCTTGTTCAAACGTCTAAATGTATAAGGTTTAAAGACATAGTTGATCTTAAACTCTACAAAATCATTTTTAGAGGTGTTCATGATATTGTCAGCTATTTTTTTTCATCAATTCCTGTCTTAATTTAAATACAGATAATTAAAATTTTCACCAGCATAGTAACATTTAATGCACATTGGAAAATAACATTATTTCGTGACAAAAACTCCACAAATCTGGATTTTTCATAGAACAGAACGTTGGGCCACTGTGTAGCCAATCAACCCATCCTTTTTTTTCTCCTTCCAAAAGGAAAAAAAGAAAAAAACAACCATCATTTAAAATTTGAAGATGAAAACCATTATTCAGACTATACAAAGTTGAAACCTATATGTCAATTAATGATTTTATACGACTGCAAACACGTAATCTTTCACGATTATGAATATCCAAATTTATCCGGTTAATTTATTTCTATGCTACATAAAAATGAAAAGATGGACTGGGGTATAGATATATGGTCACCTAGAGCTCTCTCGTCAAGAAGTACAGAGTACATGGGCTATTTGAAGTGTACGTATTCGATATCTAGACCTTATCTTAACATACCCCCTTTTCCCAGTGGGTCCAAATCTTCCACCCTTCATTCGTATCAATCAATTTTGCAGAACCTACTTTAATACTAAATTTATTGATTTGTTCTCGTTCTGAATATAAACCTCCCAAGTGTTGGCTAGGGTATAAAATATGGTCATACCTGGGCTTCTCTAATCCGACAGTAGAATCCATGCTTAATAAGGGCGTCTGCTTGGCT